AAGTATGTAGAGACCTTGGCCCTGAGCCTGACATCTCAGATGATGAATCCACAATGTTGTTGGCTCTGCTGGGAAGAGCCCAAGTTGGTGGTTTCCTACAGCTTCCCTGACCCCAGCCCTCCCCTTCTCCCCACTTCACTTAATGAAGACAAACAGAAGTCAGTAGAGTTCACTTGCAGAAGAATTTAGTGGGAGATTATGCTCAAGGAAGGAAGGTCAATAGTTTCCAAACCCAAGAGGCAAATAAGTATCTTTTTTTCTCCCCACTTCCTCAGAAGTTCTTTGCTTTCTTCCTTCTCACAGTTTAAGGGCCTTTTTGGAACCAAAATATCAAGATCGAGTCCTGCCAGCTACTCTAAGAGGCACAGTTTGGGCTTCAAGATTTCATTCTTGAGGTAGAGAACTCTCAGATTCTTAGAGAAGGACAAGAGGAGGCTGTCCTCAAGCCAGTCTGGGGTCAAGGCCCTGCCCTTTCTGCAGCCTGGAGCGTGTCGAGGAAGCAGATGACACCTCAGAGCAGACACATACCAAGCTACTGGAGCAGGACCCCAAAGGCAATGACACCAAAACTCACTCGCATATGCATCTCCTTTTGCTATTGATTTTTTTAAATATTCAAAAGTAAAGGTGATTCCATCACCTTACTTGTCGCTTCGCGAAGGATCTCCCCTACCCCTGCCCTGGCCTCTCTTCCAATTCGCTAATGCGACAGAAACCACAAGAAGAACAAAGAAACCTCAGCCCGGTGTGAATTGTGGAACACTTTATTGAACACGAATGAACAGAAGTCACATTTCCTCAGTGGTCAGTGCTAGGTGCCAGCAAGGAAATAAAAGGAATTTCGGAGGAAATGTTGGGGACAGAGGCAGAAGTTCAAAGGGAAATAATTTAGAGAACAAAATCAATGACAGCCTCATCAGAAATGCTTCTGATGGTTAAGAGAAATGAGGGTCCCAGTGATGGGGAAGCAGAGAAAGCGTCGAGAACCCCCAGGAGGGAGCATTTGTCCAGAAAGCTCTCCACTGCCCAGCCCACGGTGTCCTGGGGCGAGCTGGAAGGAAAGACAGCATGACTCAGGAGGGCCCGAGCTTTGGAGTTAGAGCTGAACTCTTGAGATAACCAGTCAACCAAATGCCACTGGCTAATTGTGGTGCTTTGTGCTACTGAGCTGGCCCAGATCTTGATTCCCTCATCCTCAAGATGGGACCAATAATGCCCAGCTCCTGGGGTTGTTAGGAGGATGACTGAAATAATAGATATGAATAGATCTGACCACCACATAGTAGACCCACACAAATTGCAGTTCCCGGTCCAAGCACCAGAAATAACTTCTTCCTATTTATGACTTTGCCTGGGGCCAGCTGCTTCTAAATGCTCCCTAGAGGAATCAGGGACCTGATCCAGCTCTCCTCCCCACTAGGGAGGCATCTTCCCTGAGAATTGCTGCCGGAGTCAAATGTTGATGCACAGCTGCCTCTCCTGGACAGGGCTGGAGCTGCAGAGCCAATCTGGGGTGGACTGCAGCTGTGCCAAGCTGGGGCCTTGTCTGTGTGATGAGGCCCAGAGCCAGAAGCCCCCTCCCACAAAGCTGTCACCTTCTCCACATTTTCCAAATGCCTCCCCGCCCGTAGACACCTTAGGAGTCCTGAGGGCCAGCCCAGCTAGTAGATGAGTCTGTGGCTTTCCAGATTTTTGGAGATGAGGACAAGCCACTCCAATTCATCCACAGTACCTGGTCCCCAGGACAACCAAAATTACCCAAGCTATTTATAAACCATTCTTAATCCTTGAGCATGAAAAAAGTCAAAAGCCAAGAGCATTTGGGTCCCACTTTTAAAAATGGCAAGGAATGGGATCCCTGGGTGGCGCAGCGGTTTGGCGCCTGCCTTTGGCCCAGGGCGCGATCCTGGAGACCCGGGATCGAATCCCACATCGGGCTCCTGGTGCATGGAGCCTGCTTCTCCCTCTGCCTGTGTCTCTGCCTCTCTCTCTCTCTCTCTGTGTGTGTGTGTGTAACTATCATAAATAAATAAAAATTAAAAAAAAAGGCAAGGAAAACAATGATTAAACTAAAACCTGATCAAAGGCTAGATATCCCCTTCCCCAATTACTATCTTCCCTAATCCTCCTCCCCAACACATGAAAACACACACACACATGCATACACACAAATACATATACATGTGCACAAACATACACTCTTACATGAATATCTATACATGCACAGGGCAGAGTCCCTTGAAGAAAATCTTGATACTGTCCAACACATTCTAGTTTATTCTATAAAGCAGCGGCAACAAATATATGAGAAGTTGATGAAGGTTTGCATACATAGAACGACATTTTAATGACTGTGCCTCACCACAACCTACCACCTCTGATGACAATGTATACTTATTCTTCAGTTATGAAAGCACTAATCAGAAATAAAGTTAGATTCCTTCTTTGCACTATAGATAAAAATAAAATGCAGGTATGTTAAAGATACACATAGAGGCGCCTGGGTGGCTCAGTTGGTTGAGCATCCGACTCCTGATCTCAGCTAGGATCTTGATCTAGGGTCATGGGTTCAAGCCCCATGCTGGGCTCCATGCTGGGGATGGAGCCTACTTAAATAATAGTGCAAAATACGTATATTTTTTAAAAAGATACGTATATAAGTAACTATAAAAATAATTGAAAAACTCAGAACATTTGAATAGGCTTGGAAATGGGAAAAATTAAGCAAAAGGAAAAAACACGTAAGCCATAAAAAGGGGAGAGTTTTGATCATATATAAAAATGAAAAACTTCATAGAACAAAAAGATACCATAATCAAAATGACAACTATATGATACTGTAAGCAAGGATTATGACAAAATGATAGATTGAGAGAAAACATTTTCAATGTGTATAATGTACAAAGAATTCTCCCAAATTAACAAGAAGACAAGTAACACAATAGGAAAATAACAACATAGACCAACAAATTACAGCAGAGTAACCAAAATGAATAAAAGTTGCACAGAGTAAAAAAAAAAAAAAACACCATCTCAAACAGTAGATGGAGAAATTAAAGTCAACACAACAGTAACCTAACCATTTTTTTAATCCATTGAATATTTAGAAGATCGGTCATATCCAGTGGCAATGTAGGAGAGCTGGTTCTGTTGTATATTGTTCGAGGGACTGTAAATAACTACAACCTTTTATAAAAGTCATCTAATAGTCTTCATTTCAATTTAAAATGTGCATTTACTCTGATCCAAGAATCCCATTTCTGGGGAATTTCCAGGCTACTTAAAATATCCGTGGATAAAGCTAGTTGGCTATGATGTTTGTTACAGCACTTCTTTGCTAATAAAAACTGAAACAACCTAAATATCATTCAAAAGATGACTCTAAACAAATTATGCAACACCTGAGCCATGACACATTGAACCTCTGATATCCACTGCACGCTTCACATGTGTAGCTCAGAGCAAGCCTGTGCTTCCATGTCGTCCTCTGGAAAATGAAGTTGACAATGGTACTTCCATCCCATATTAATCATTGGAAGGACTTTTATTATGTATTGCTAAGTGTAAATTTAAAAAACAAACAATTTGCAGCATTAAAAGCATTTTTAAATGTGTATATGCCTCTATTTATTTCATGTGTTTGTATCCACAAGGGCAAAAAATGAAGGAGTTCTACATTAAATTGTGACACATCTACTGCTTTTGTTCATGGGTCATTACAAAGAATAAAAAGCCCTAATAGGAAAAGATGTGACTGAAAACATTAACAGACTACTCATTGAAAGAAAAATGCAAATGGTTAATAACCACTGGGAGAAAAATGCAGCCTTAAAAAAAAAAACTTAATTCAAAGCCCACTTTTCAATGCCCTGTGCCACTCACATTGGCCAAGCTGAGGGTGTGCATCACCCACTCTGTGAAGCAAGAGTGTGTGTTCCTGTATAGGTGCACATGGGGTGGTGAGGGGAGGCAGGGAGGGGAGGATGTGTGGGGAAAGAACCCCTAGTCTCTAAGGGATTCGACTAGAGATGGACCTGAATTCTAATCCCAACCCTTTCACTCATATATAGAATTAGATTAGTCTCTTACTCTTTCTGAACCAATCTCTTCACTTGAGAAACGAGTGAGCGAAGGGATTCGGTGAGGTTATTTTCATATCAGGCTGGGCACAGGGAGTGCCTGCCCCCACCCCCGGCCTGCCCTAGGCCCACCCTATGGTGCTGAGTCCTCCCCCACTTCCTCCTCCTTCCTACCCTTTCCCAAGTACCCAGCCAGAGCAGCCTCAGGTCACCTGCATGAAGAAGAGGCCCTGGCCTTTGCTTCACTGTATCCCAGTGTAGCCTGCCTGCCTGTGCCTTGCTATTTAACCATGATGTTAATTCCTTTTGCATTTATGTGATTTGGATTCTTGCAAAACAAAGGCATGATTTTAGTTAAACACATACACACACACACAAACACACACACACACACAGGAGCACACAGACAAAATAAAAACAGGAATGCTGTAGCCCTTTACTTGATACAAATCTTTCTAGATAAGAATCCAGCTGTCACACTGGAGGCTCTACAAGACAGGGGTTCCGTCAGCCACAGAGAGCAAGCGCAACCCCCCCCCCCAACACGGAAACTGGGAGAGAAGATGAATGGTAACAATTTCACATTATTGACAAAATGCATCTCAAATCATTGACCCTTTAAGATACCTCGGAGGGGCAGCGAAAGGCAAAGTAATCCACCTCTTGGCCAAGGGGCTGGGCTCCCGACAAACCGTGGAAAGACTAGCAGCCAAATAACCTGCTCCTCTGGCTGTTGAGTGTTCTGGTGGTTCCAGCAAGTCCAGTGGGAATTCCCTTAGAACCTTCCAGGCTCCAAAGCCCCCACGCTTACTATGTGTATATATATATATAAAGAGCCCCACTGTGCGCTGTTGGTCCGCGAGCTAGTCCAGGTCTCTAAAGCGGGGGGCCCGGGCCGGTGGGCATCCGGGGGTGCCGGGCTCAGGCGCTCTGGGGCCGAGGCTCCCTCCCGCCGTTGAGGAGGTCCGTGAGCTCCCCGATGTACTTGATCGTGTACTTCAGGGTCTGGATCTTGGTGAGCGGCTGGCCCCTCTGGCTGTAGACGGGCGGCAGGTAGTTGCGGAGGGTGTGCAGCGCATCCGCCAAGGTCCTCATCCGGAGCTTCTCCCTCTCGCTGGCCTTGCGCCTCCGCTGCACCGACATCCTGACCTTGGCGCCCTTCTGGGCCTTGGGGCCAGCAGCGCCCTGCAGGTAGGCGGGCGGGAAGGCCAGCATCTCGTAGGCCACCTGCACCCCGCCGCCGCCGCCCCCGCCCCCCGCGCTCGGGGCGCCTCCCAGCCCACGCGGCAGCCCCGGGGCAGCGGGCCGGGGGGAAGAGGAATAGGACTCGAGCGACGGGGCCGGAGACAGGCTCTGGGGTGGGGAGGCCTGGCTCAGCTCGAAGGGCCCCCCTCTGTGGTCCCAGTCCCAGGAAGACAGCAGGCCCGGGCTGGCGGAGGGGCCCAGGCCCTCTTCGAGGCCGAGGAAGGGCTCCCGCAGGGTGTCCATGCCTGGGGACAGACAGCTGCAAGTGAGAAAGCAAGTCGGGCCGCAGCTCCCTTTTATGGGGGCGGGGGGGGGGAGAAGTGATGAAGTGGGAAAGGGGGCCGGGTGGGGGCAGTTCAAAGGACACACCCGAGGACCGCGATGGAAGATGAACTCTTCAGGTGCCACTTTCTCCTCATCGATAATTAGCATCTTCCAGCTAAAATGTCTTTAAACAAAAAGGCCTCCGAGAGAAGAAAAAAGGAATTATCTTGTTGTAACTAAACCAATTAAGGCTGCATAACTAGACTTAGCATTGTCCTGTGGAACCCATTAATGAGGGAGCCAAAGAAAACAAACCTGGGGCAATTTGCAGCCCGGAGGGGGCGGCCCAGGGCCCTGGATGAGAGCAGCCGGGCGCCCCAGAAGGCCTCCACCCTCGCCAAGACCTGGATACCACAGAGCAGATGGGGTGTGCAGGCAGAGAAGGGGCACGGTGCTGGGGGACAGGTAACCCTGCTGGGCTTGGATTCCCCAGCCTGTGGAATGCAGACCCTGACAGCTCTCACTTCCCAGGGCTGTCAGGAGGAGGGCACACAGCAGGCCACAGTGAAGGCCTTTCCCCCTCGCCCTCCACTTCTGTACACCTTCCTGAGTCTGGTAGGGTGCAGACTCCTGCCTCCAGCACGCCCACACTCAGAATGACAAAGGCCAGCACCCCCAGTCCACCGGGAGCCTCAAGGAGCAGGAAAATATCCTTCCAGAAGCTCAAAGCCCTTGCTTTAACTGAGCAGCCTGGGATTCCCCACAGCAAACAGGCACCATGAAAAGGAAAACCCTTTTAAGGCAGGGAGTTTGCAGAATACCTGGCATTTTGCCTGCCGAAGGCCTTTTAAAAATCCAGCTGCAGTGTCACACCTTGTTTTTTGAAATGTATAGAGGAAGTGTGAAATTAACTGGGGAGCCTGTTTTCCCCACCATCGCTCCAAATGCCGCTGAATGTGTTAAGTTGGATGGTCCTGCTAGTTTGCTTCACTTCCTACCGTGCTCTGAGATAGACCCTGTGTGTTGGAACAAGGTCTCGGATCCCCCATTTGTCCCATGAACGTAACCTATTCTCCACGTAGCTAATTCGACAAATGAGTATTAACATCAGATCCGAGTGAGTTATGTATCTGAGTAGTAAGCACGTGTGCGTTAACATGGTTACGTCCCTTTGCAATTACTGAAAAGAAATGTCAATGGTCCAATTAGAACATTCACGGTATTTTTTAATTCCCTGGGTTCAGGGAAGAAAAAGCTACAGCAGATAATCCATAGAAGAATGTTCTTGAGTTTTCCATTTACTAAAGGACCCTAAGCCATATCTTGAAGAATGAGCATTAACGAAACATAATAAGTGTAATAAATAATCTCTCCTCCTTGCTCCTCTCTGCTCTTTCTCTTCCTTCAATTCTTATGGAGAAGCCTAGGATCTGCTAATACTATTCAAGGAAACTGACATATATTATAACTAACCTTTATAAATTTTTTTAAGTCTCATTTTACAGATAAAAATGTGGAGACCCTAAGAAGTTAAGAGACTCAGTTAAGATTTCCCTGGTAGGAAGTGATAGAGCTGAGATTCCTGGTAAGACCCCAAAGCCCACTTCTTAAAATAAATAAATAATTAAAAGAAAAATCAGTGTTTTCTATTTTAGTTGATTATAGTATAGGCAGGTGACCTGAATGTGATTCAAAGGGAAGGAGAGGGGCAGCCCGGGTGGCTCAGCGGTTTGGCGCCACCTTTGGCCCAGGGCGTGATCCTGGAGACCCGGGATCAAGTCCCACGTCAAGATCCCTGCATGGAGCCTGCTTCTCCTTCTGCCTGTGTCTCTGCCTCTCTCTTTCTCTGTTTCTCATAAGTAAATAAATAAAATCTAAATAAATAAATAAATAAATAAATAAATAAATAAATAAATCAAAGGGAAGGAGACTCTCAGAAGACCGGAGATGGCTGTGATGCTTCTAGTCCTTATGTTCTAAACTGTTGACAGTTTTCTAAGGTAACATTACTCCTGCTCTCAGACTCAAGTTCTTTTTCTTTTCTTTTTTGTTTTCCTTTCTATAGCTTCCTTCTAAAATTGCTTGTTTCTTTAAACTTCTATTTTTAGAATTTTCATTTCCTAAATGACACAGTAGCTGTCAAATGTTTGGTATATTATAGACACTTAATAAGTCTAGGTGTGTAGGCTTTGCTCTTGTTGGGACTGTCATCCATGGTCAAACTCACTGGTATCAGAATGAGTTACTCTGCTGTGACTTCTCCACCCCTGACCCCACCTCCTAGCAATGCCACTCCCTGAAAACCTGTGGTTAAAGCAAAGCAAACTGCTTGATTTCCATGTTCCTCAGTGTACACGCTCTGGTAAGAAATCAGTTAGAACTAAATGTGCATTTCTCCTGCTAGTCTCCATAAAGTGCTATGTGCTCCATCTGTGGAAAATGGAGGTGCAGCGCAGTAAACACCATACGATGGTTGGGCACACACTAGCTAGGTGTTTTTCTATTTCAGTGTCCTTTGAAAATAAGGCAGTAAACTGGCCAATGCTAGACTGGATCCAGCAAAAGCTAGTTGAGGGTTTGGCATAGCAGACAGATGGGCCAAAGTTCACCTCCTTTACAGCACATGGTTCAGCCTCTCAGGGCTTTTGTATTTTACTTTGTAAAGGAAGATAATAATATCTGTCCTGCCTTCTTTATGAAGTGCATTTCTAAAATAAGTTGTATGGACCGAAGGATCATCAAACTTCCCTTCCAGGTCTAAAATGTGATGAAATGTGTTACTGTGTGAATGTGCTTGATTAAAAGAGAACCCACCATACCAGCATGAATAGAGACAACTGAGTCTATCATTTTATCTGCATTCTAGAGATGACAATGGCTTGTTTGATGTCACACCAAAAACCTGTGCCAGAGATGGAAATAGAAAGCAAAATTGTCTAACTCCTAGATCTGTCATTTTTCTTCCCTAGAAACTATACAGATTTAAGTGATGCATAAGCTTTCCTGTCAGACCACAGAGTTCCCACGTTACTAAGTTATTAGGATAAATACCTTAATATGCATTTAAAGGTTACTCAGCAAACACTGATAAGTTATCTGACTACGGTTGTAACACATTGAAAAGAAGTCCCCAACCCTGAGACGTATGCTCCCAAGAGGGCTTGCAGAATGTCCTGGTCCTATTTTCCAAAGAATAACATGAAGGTACAGCTTGTCTCTCAAATCCCAGGCCCATGAGAGCCTTTCCATTGCAGCTCTGCTCCGTGAGGAGGACCCAAGATTTGCTACACAAATTCATAAGTGGTGTTGTATCTAATTTTCACCATGCTAAGCTTCTGAGGGGATGTCCGTCATATCCCTGATAACAGTAATGACAGGCATAGACGACTGGGCATTTTACAGTAGGCTTTAGTCGAGATCGTAGAGTCGATGGTAGACTCTAGAACTGGCCAGGAAGCTGGGCAGGGCCACTTATGACAAATTGACAAATACTGCTCAAAGAATCAACAGAAAGCAGAGGGCAACGGCTGCTTTGATGCTTGAACCTATAACCAACCACCCGTAGCCCCAGGTCACTGCCAGCCCATAAGGCACTTCTGTGCAAATTAGAAAAATCCCCAGCTTGGGCTCCTTTGAGCCCCCACTGACCTCCTTGGCCAGGCTCCTTGTTCAGGGCTCCCTGGTGGTCCCGGGGAGCCCTCTGTGATGTGTCTCCTTTGCAATATTAGCATTTTTCATACTTAAGTGACTGCCCAAAAATGATAGAAAGTGGCAGTAGTGGCAAATATGTGTCCACTGGAGTCATACTAATCTCACATTAGCTACTGAGTAATTAATTGTGACCTTGAGCCTGTTAGTGAATCTTTCTCTGCTTCAGCTTTGTACAATTGCAATACTCATACTTACACCATAGAGAACATACTTTTACCAGGTCTGTACATTGTAAGCTTTAAGTGTGGCAACTAATATCGCCTTAAGTATAAACCATGTTCGATGAATTCTTTTTTTTTTGTTCAATGAATTCTTTGATTCCTTGAGAAGTTAGAACCATAGTACATGTGGCAAAAAATACATCTCTCTCATCTTTTTTGGCTTCAAGTCACTTGTGCTTAGAAATCAAAATTCCCTCCTTTAAATGAAACCTTTTTTCTTTTCTTTCTTAAATATTTTATTTATTTATGCTTGAGAGACACAGAGAGAGAGGCAGAGACATAGGCAGGGGGAGAAGCAGACTCCCTGCAGGGAGCCTGATGCGGGACTAGATCTCAGGCCTCCCAGATCATGACCTGAGCCGAAGGCATGCTCAACCACTGAGCCACCCAAGTGCCCCATTTTATTTTATTTTTTCTTTTCAAACAAAACCAATTTAGATAGAGTTCTTTACCAAAGACCAATGAAATCATCTGCCCCAACCCCGGCAATTTTGCCCCACTATATAACACCAAGTAAGTCAGCATGGAAGCTGGCTCTGTCAAAGCTTATCTTGTGAGAAGTAGCCCTATCCCCAGACTGTTGAGACACATCAAATGGAAGGTCTATTCCCCCTGTGACCTTGTCATCCCTGAACCATGTGAAGCAGTTTGCATGGACCATTTGCTCAAGGTAGAAGGGGGGCTCCAGTGAATTTCAACCTCTCATGATGCAGAAAATCCTTCAATAAATTGATAAACTAAAAAAACTAATCCTGGAAGGGTGCCTGTGTGGCTCAGTGGGTTAAGCGTCCAACTCCTGATTTTAGTTCAGGTCATGATCTTGGGGTTGTGAGATGGAGCCCCACGTGGGACTCCACGATCAGTGGGGAACCTGCTTAAGATTCTCTCTCCTGGGCTCCTGGGTGGTGTAGTTAGCTAAGCCTCTTGGTTTTGACTCAGGTCATGATCTCAGGGTCCTGGGACCGAGCTCTGGGTCAGGCTCTACACTCAGAGGGGAGACTGCTTGATTTTTCTCTCTCCCTCTCCCACTCCTGCTCATGCTCATTC